TTGAATAAATAAATTACATAAATGTATTATGTACTGTATTCCTATTTGCCCAAATGATTTAAATATAAACAGGAAAGAGGAGCAATCTCTCCTCTCTCTCTCTCTCTCTCTCTCCCCCCCCTCTCCTCTCTCCCCCTCTCTCTCCCCCTCTCCCTCTCCATATTTCCAACCAAATATCTCCAATTCAGATCTTTCCACTCATTTTGTCTCCCCCCCACATCCCCGTTAGAGATTTTGTGGAAAATCAGTTATCAACCACATCATTTATCCCGACCTTATATTGAGGCTGCTTATATAGATGCTTTTTTAAATACATTTTCCCTGTTAGGAAAGATTCCCTCTCCCATTCCAAAGGGTCTTAGAATTTTGCCAACCACAAATGAAACAGGGAGAAATTTCTGAAAGTTTTAGCTAGGATGAAAATATTGAATAAAGAGCTGTTGTGTTATTACCATTGAACGTACCTTGCTTTAAATAATCCAGGCAAGACATTGAGGAGTTAAATCCCTGCTTATTTCACATGCTGCCTTATGAGATCTTGGAATATACATGTGTGTTTTTTCTTTATACCCCATTCCTCATGCATTGCATTGATTCCGGGTTCAGTTCCTGGAAACGTTAATTAGAAGTAGCAGGAAGCAGGTGATGAGAAAGATGGGACCCTGCTGAGCTTCTGCTGCTTAGAATAGTCTTCTCTATTGGCCTTGGCCCACTTCCTTTGTTGTTGGTCATTTCATCCTGCTAAGAAGATCACTATTGTTTTGGATTTTAAGGTCTGCTGTTCTGATATAAGAGAATTATTTTCTGTTACTTTAATGTGAGGTCTTCATTTTACTGTCCAATTCATTTTACTGTCCAATTTCATACGAGCAGTTGTAATTGCTCATTTACCCTTATCAGGTAGAGACAGTCAAATCATTTTGCTGCTTGGGCGCCAGACAAGATCATGCTGTTCCATATTATATGTTCAGCGTGGTGGGTATTTGAAAGTAAATGTTAACTTAAGTATTTGTTAAGGGCATATGAACCATGGAACAGCATTCAGTTAAAATATCCATGTGCAAATGAACCAGGATGTTAGGAAGGTATTTTGATTAAAGAGCCTTGAAATCAAATATACTAGTTGAAATTGTAATACTGTTTTTTGTTTCTCCTAGTTTTTGAAATTGAAATGCTATAGGCAGATAAATTGTTGTAAACTCCCTGTTGGCATGAGCATGCAATGCACAGAGTTTTCCATCTGAAGCATCTGCCCAAGTTGATTTTATATGGCAGGCATTAAGAGGCATTCTTGCTCATCTTATGATCACATTACAGTTAGATAATTGGAAGCAGCTACTAGTCAGACATTTGAGTTTATTTACTGTTCATCTTTAAAAAAAAACCATCTGCCATAGAATGCAGACTGAGCAGAACAGTAGCATATCATTTATTAAGCTTCTGGATAAATGCAGTTTGAATAATGTTTCATCATATCATTTTATGTTTAATGAAACTGTATGCCTGTTTAAAATAACATACAGAATCAAACAATTGAAAGTTTGGTCAGTTACATTACATTAATAAATTTCCTCTAATGGCAAAACCGGTTACTTATGAAGAATAATTGTTATTCTCTGCAACATTACGGGAAACTCGCCAAAATGTCTCTATAAGTTGGGGACCTTTAAGAGCAGGCCCTTTGAAGAGGGCAACATGATGCGGAGGAACTGAAGGTTGATTGATATGAATAGTTTTGTTGTAATAGAATATTGGATTCCTCCTATATCTTTTCCCGAGTCAGATTTAATTTCTGAACAGCTTTGATTGATGGATTGTTGTGCTCTCAAGTATATTGATTTTTAGCAACTCACATAGGCAGACCTCTCCCAGGTTGATATGTCCCCATCTGGTCCTTTAGATCCTCAGCAGTGTACCCATCATACTTCAGTTGAGTCCCTCCAGCTTACTAGTGGTCATCCTCTTATTGTCTTTTCTTCTATCTTTCCCAGCATTATGGATTTCTAATAGAAGTTGGTCTTTATAGAATATGTCCAAAATATGATAATTTGAGCCTTATCATTTGTATTTTGAGTGAGAACTCAGGATTGATTTATTTTATGATCTATGTGTTTATTTACTTACCTGTTCATGATATCCTCAAGAGTCTTATCCAGGTCCTTCCAGTTTTGCATCGCTGCGAGGCGGATGCAGGAAGGCAGGATTCTGTGCCTGATTTTACCCTGCTGGGGGGCCCTAAAAGGGCTTAAAGTAGTCTTGAAGAGGTGATGAAGAAGGAGGGGTGCCTCGTCAATCACGGAGAGATGGTGGTCTTTCTGTTCGATCTGAGAAAAGCCCTCCAAATCGGCAGGGGAAAGACTGGCTACATTCCTGTGGCCAGCCATTAGCTGCTGACAACCAAAGAAGAAAAGCACTAATTAGCATTGTAAACAGCATGGTTGGAAGTGGGTGAGAATATTGATCCTTTCTTTACTATTTTACAACTGAATTTCCACGGAAAGGCTCCCAAGAACCTAAAATCTCTGAACGTGAACGGAAGCAGTGTTTTAATTTCTTTTATGGGAGACAGAAATACATAATACTGAAGTGGAAGTAATATAAAGCTACAGTTTTGATAAATTTGAGAACTAAGATAATTGTTAAGATTTTCTCTTGGAAAAAAACAACAACATCTGAGGTAAAATATTAGAAACCAATCCTTTGTCTTAAGAGTGGAAAATGGATTTTGCTAATCACATCAAGTAGATTGGCATGGTTGAGTATATTGCAACTATTTCCAAGGCTAGCTTCCTGGCTGCTTGGTTAAGACTCCTAGTCTTAAATCAAGCTGGCAATAAAGGAAAATATGGCATACTTATCACCCTGATCTTCTTGGACTATAAACACCTATAGCTTGGATTTTTAATCTCAAGAACTATTGGGAGAGAAAGAAAAATTTGACTCAATGTCTGGCTAGACTTTTGAGCTGTTTTCAGGGTGGTTGAACATTCTGAACACTTTGAACATTGTGGATTACAACCTTGCCTGATCGACAATTCTTGGACACCCAAGCTCACTACAAAAATGCTTTGAGGACTGGACCCATATTCTGGAACTTATTGGATTATAAAGGCTACACATAAAGACCAGACTGGGTGAAACCTTGTTCTATTCTTATTAAGCCGAGGTGGCACAGCAGTTAGAGTGCAGTACTGCAGGCCACTTTAGCTGACTGTGTTCAGCAGGTCAGCGGTTCAAATCTCACCGGCTCAAGGTTGACTCAGCCTTCCACTATGAGGACCCAGATTGTTGGGGGCAATGTAAATATATATATACGTTGCTTACTGGTGTACACCGCTTAGAGAGTGCTTGCACTTAAAGCAGTATATAAGTCTCATAAATAAATTAAGAGTGGTGATAAGTGGTTCCCAACCTTTTCTATACTCTGCACCCCTAGAACGCTTCTGATATATTCCCACATCCCTTACAAAAGTTCAAAATAATGGCAACATATGATGCATATACACTATAATTTTGAAAACCCAAGTTTTTGCACCCCCTGGAATATCATCTCACACCCCTGGGAACCCCTGTACTAGAGGATCTCCAGGAATGATGCCTGAAGAAAAAACAAGTACCTTTCAGAAGGAAATATACTCTATGCTGCAACTAACTCACCAAACAATTGTCCATGAGATGATAATATAAACGAGCAAATCTCCAAATTAAATCTATAACTAGAAAATTTGACTACAAAGTATGAACAAATAAACCAGAAATCAGAAGAAAGCAGAAGAAATGGACCTAGAGATGGAAGATATAAAAGAAGGGATACTATTCAAGACCTAGCCATAACAACAAAAATGGAAAAGATGCTTTAGCCCTTACAAAAGATACCTATAGAGCCTGTCACAACTTGGGAAACATATAAAAGTGGGAGTTGCATAAATGGGCGGACCTAAATTGTCTTTCTCGTGCCAAGCAACTTTTACAAAAATAGAAAGAAAATTCCTGGGCGATTTAATTGCCTTGGCTTGGAAAGCTATTTGGCAAAAATTAGATTTAAATTTGACCTATTAGAGAGGGCTTTACTGGATGACCCTTAGATATAATTAGACTATTAGAGATACAGGGAATATGAAAATATGGCTTGAATACAACTTTTAGATGTAATTAATAGAGAAAATTATACCTGACAAAGATATTTCAAATATTGATAGGAAATCAAACCTTAACAAAAGCATGAAAAACAAATATTGATGAGGATGTTTATATCTAACTTTGTATACATCAATAAGCAAGAATTGTAACTGTAATGAAGGGAAAATGGAAAAAATATGATATACATGCAATACTGAACAGATTTATATTGAAGAAGTTAATGTTAAATATGTGAACTGGTTGACTAAGCACTAAAGACTGGAGGCCACAAAACCTTCTGTGGTTATCACATGCATAGCATAGGGAAGAACAAAATATATTCTGTTTTTCTAAAATCTTGACCAACTTCTTGGTCTTCAAACTTGGCCCTTTTATGACTTGTGGCTGGCTGAGGAATTCTTGTCCACAAGTTCAAGTTTGAAGACCTCTGTCTTATGACTGTTATGCTCAGTTTACCATGGTCTTGCTTTCCTTTTGCTGGGATGGACAAAGTCAGTTCAGTTAACTATAGAAACAACTATGAGATCTAAATTCTTCTTAGCATGGGAATCTTTCAAAATGAATAGGACAATTTGTGTTTTATAGAGCATTAACTATTCCACATGATTTTATGAGAGCATCTTAATCTTCCTGATCCTAGAAAATTTTTTAAAGAGTATTCTTTTATCTTTCTGCCTTTTAATAACTTTTCTGTGCCACTGTTACTTTATTTTGCTTTTATGATTTTTCCTCACAATTCAGATTGAATCTATTATTGTTTTCAGGCCTCTTCCTTCTTTAGGAAATCTGCAGATGCATGTGAACAATTGTATTTCAGAGATATCAAGTAATAATATTCCAAATATTCTCTTTGTTTTTAGGTGGATCTTGTACACAGTATTAATTTAAAGGAAGATTTATCTGTTCAGGAAATAATAAACAGAGGACAGATGTACAGCTAAGTAGTGATGTAATACCCACATTTTTTCTGTGTTTGCATGTGATGAATATAAATAAAACAATAAATGTACTAATCAATATTTCATTTGGCAATAAAATTGTGTGGCTGAATATTTAGTTTTAAAGTCCCTGAGACATAAGGAAATGATTGTGGCAAATTTTATTGCAATTAAACTATTAATGTTTTTTTTTAATTTTAGAGGAACAAAAATTAATAAATTTAAATGCAATTATTTTAAAAAATCACTTTGGTACCAAAATACAATATCTTTCTACTAATTTTTATTCTGACATTTATTTATTTATTTATATTGTTCCTCAGTTATTAAACTGTAGAATTGAGAGAACATGAAAAGTGGCTTAGTTAAGTGTGATTTGGCAGAGAATATCATAAGGGAAAGCATAAGGGAAGATAAGTACATACTATCACCTTCATAGCTCCAAGCTTTTTACTAGGGATATAACATATAGCAATTACGTGTAAGACTATATAATACAGCTCTGCAAATGTTTCAGGTTCAGATAATTTTGAATTTGATTCTTTTCACGTCTAAAATGTCCATCTTGCATTTGAAAGAGGCTGTTTTGATCATTCTGGAAGTGATTCAAGTCCAAATTTCCAAAATGACTAAAACAGCACATTTTGAATGAGAAATAGCTACTCCTAACCTAAAATCTGTTTTGAATTTAAAAATGCTTTGTACACATGACAGGTAGTCCTCACTGACTGCCTTGATTAGCTACCGAAGTTATGACAACGGTATAAAAGCTTTGCAAGCAGTCTTCGCTTTTATGAACATTGCAGTGTCCCACGGTCATGTGATCACCATTTGTATACTTCTCAAGCAGCACACATGTATGACTATTGCGGCATCCCACAATCACTTTATTGCCACTTATGCGCTTCACAGTTGGCTTGTAGTAAGCTGAATTAGTAGAAAAGGCAGAAGTAAAATTGTAAATTGCGGTTATATGATGTTTCACTTAATGGCTATGGCACTTCACTTAATGGCTATGGCACTTCACTTAATGACTGAAGGGGAAGTGATGTCATAAATCCATCATAGTGAGATGATTTTCCACTTAGCAACAATGGCGCTTACTGACTGAGTTGCCGATCCCAATTGTGTTCATTAAGGGGGACTACCTATATTGAATATCATCTTAGAAGCTGTGACAAAGGAGAGTCCCCAATACTTTTGAATCTATCCAGCATGTAGTTCAGAGACTGATAGATCATGTGAATGTCACATAATAGCTTTAAGTGCCCTAAACTTCAGTTAATATTTCCAGCCTCTGTGAAAAAATGAAACAACGAAGATCAGGGCTTTTCAACCAGTCATGCGGGTACCACGTGTGGTACGTTGGCACCTGGCAGGTGGTACGCGACCATCCTAGAAAAGTGGTAGCGGGAGAGGGGAATGAGCTGAACACGGTGGCAGCACCACACAAGCCTGAGCGAGAGATGGCTGTCAGGGCTCAGTGGAAGCGCCAGGATCAGCGCTTCGGGGCTGTCAGGGCTCTGTGGAAGTGCCAGGATCAGTGCCAGGCTCCAGTTGGAGCTCGGCGCTGATCCTGGCACTTCCGCTGAGACCAGAAAAGTGCCAATCAGCTGGAATGTTGCAGCATCTCCAGGGTCTTATGATTTACATTCAGATGCTTGGCAACTGATTCATATTTATGATGGTCACGGTGTCCCAGGGTTATGTGAAGTGACCAAAACCTGCTGCAACCACCCAGCAGACGGGGGGAATAAAAACCAAACATCCCCCACCCCACCCCCGCTGCCAATCCTCAACAGAAATGCTCACAACAATGGAAACCTCGGACAGGAGGAAGAGCGCCACCGGCGGGCAGGCAGGTGTCTTGCTCAGCTGTGGCTTGGGGGGCACTTTTTTCAGTGCCATTGTAACTTTGAACAGTCACTAAGTGAACTGTTGTAAGTCGAAGACTATCTGTACTTCATCACTTTTTTCCTTTTTTTTTGGGTCATCACGTTTTTGACGCCTTTCTAGGCGCCTGGTGGTACTCGGATATTGCCACATCCTAAAAGTGGTACAATGGGTGAAAAGGTTGAAAAGCCCTGATGAAGATAACCCAATAAACAAACATACTATACTGTACATATTAATTTTTCTGTTCAGTATAAGCAAAAGAAAAATAAATAATAGCAGTTAAAAGGTGGATCAGTGTTTTGTTTTTTATTTGTTAAGTAGAGCAACCTGCAGGCTGAAGGAGCTTATATCGGAGTACAGCGTATACCACTTTATTATGGAAGGATCTAAAATATTAAACTTTACTTTTGGTCTGGGATGGTGGAGAGTTGAATTACAGTACGTATTTATTTTACTTATTGGGGGCAGGGGAGCTTGGATAGATTTCACAACTTTTTGTGGATTGTGTGTGTGCAGTGTCACATGGAAAGAAGAAACTTAACCCTGTACAATCACTTTCACTTTTGAACAAGGAATGGGGCCTGATTTCTAATCCACCCCCATATATGGTATAAAAGTGATAAAGCAGGCCTAGATAAAACTCTTGTCCCATGCCCTGAAGATTTTGTTCATTAAAGTAAATCATTAGCAGAGTTACAGATTAAAATCTGATGGGGGCAGAGCAAGACCACATGGCTCCCAGATTTTTCTGTTATGTCACTCAGAAATAAAAAGAGAAATAAGCAGTTTGGATGTAAGCCAAGGCTCATCAGAATGTGCAAATAGTTTCACATTTCACTGACTTCAGTTATTGGCTTGCATTCTTTAGTAGGCATTTTCCCACCTCCAGACTGATACTATGGTGTTCCTATTTACCTCTCTCTCTAGGTCTAAGGAAATGGCTTATTTAATAGTTGGCGTTGTACTATCTGTTCTTAAGCAGAAGAAATGATAGGCAACTGAACCAGGCAGGCAAGCTTTGATCTTGTTTTTTCTTACCTTCTGACATGTTCAACTCTAGTTGAACCTAGCTGCATTATCATTTTTTCCCTTCAATGTTCTTCTGTCTAGAGTTATATACTTTAGCAGTTCTCCTAGTCTCACCCACCCAAATCTCATAAATCCTAATTGGAATTAGTTGCTCAGCCCATCTTAGATTTATTTACCATCCATCTTTATTCTGGATAGAAACTGAAGGAAACCCCTTCCATCTTCAACAGCTACTAAAGCTGTCTAATCTGGTTTAGCTATTGTGGGGTCTCTAGCTGCCAGCCAGATGCTCTATGGCTCAAATTCTCCTCCCTGGAATCCTTTCTGATATTGACAAGTCATCTTGGAGGTTTTGGGACTTTCCCTCCTTCATGAGGAGCGAAACTATCTTCTTTACCTTTCTCCTTGTCAGCAAAGCAAAGTACAGAAATAGAAAAGGGAGTTTGTTTGAGTTATTTATCTCAGCCCAAGCCATCTCTATAGTTAACATAGGTATGTGGAACTGCATCTAGATAGTACCAAGCATTGCTGACCACAAGCTTCAATTCAGTTCAGTTCAATTCATTACATCTGTAAAATGACCATTAGCTCGTCATATTAACAATAACATTAATAATAAAATATTAATAAATGATATTTAAATAATACATAATAAAAGTAAGTAAACAAGGCAAGGGGATTGAATATTCATTAATTCTAACTCATATATGCAGGCGTTTAATCATTCTCTTTATTTGGGAAAAGTCAACATGACCTGTATTGAGTAGTTTGGAAAGATGGAAGTAACCATCTTCATGCCAATAATCCAGAGGGGTAAATTTGCTAAAGAAAGCAGTGGAAGAAAAGTATTTCTCGTCATAGCAAAACATATCTGTGAAATAGTATTTAACGTATTTGTATAAAATTGACATTCCCCTTTGATCTGTCTCTAAGTAAATTTGATGGAATATTTTTAAACTTCATTTTCAGAAAGCCAATCCAATGCTAGTTTCTTCAAATGACTTGAGGAACCTTTATATATCTATTTTAAATAAGATTCACTGTATAGGGAGCAGCTGCAGCAGGGGGGATTTTGCATAGATTTATCTTGTGCTCCAGTTGCGCCCATTCCTGGACTGGGAGACCTTCACCACAATCATTCCCACCCTGATCATCTTCCAGTTGTATTACTGTAATGTTTTATTGGGGGGAGCTACCATCCAGAATGCAGTGGCGCATGCGTTTCTGCCTATGGTTTGTCTATGTTTTGCTGCTGCTATGGGAGTTACACTGTCTTCCATTTCTTTTCTGCTGCTTTTCAAGGAGCTGGTTATCACTTTTAAAGTCTCAAATGGCCTGGGACAGTTGTCTCTCCAAGTATATCTACCCATTCTATCAGGTCTGATAGGGTGGACATGCTCCAGGCCCCATCTATTGGGACCTAGTCAGTATGCCTTCTCCATAGCATCCCCTCCTTTTCATACACACACACACACACACACACACACACACACACACACACAAGATTTGACAGGCCCATACCCTCCTGGCCTTCTGAGAACTCCTGAAGTTTTGGCCCTTCCCACAAGCTTTGGGATAGTATGTGACTGGAGCCCAGGAATTACCAGTACACTTATTGTTTTATTATTGTTCTAGCTACCTGGGATTATGATACATAAGATGAGTGGCTATATAAATCTTTTAAATAAATAAAATAAAATAACATCAAGCAAGAATGTATGCATTATAATGCATTTGTATAGTGGAACCCCTACTGAATGTCTTAAGTTTTCTTTGATTGAATGTAATATTTTCTTTAGCATTTGTGCATGTTACATTTGATCTAATAAATCATGCTAGAAGTTAGATGGCGGAATCAGGCCTTTGAACTGCTGGTCAGGAGCTCCTGTTATTAATTTACCAGATGAACCTTACCTTTCTTGAGATTTCTTTCAAATAATTCCCAATTAGTACTTTGCTGAGCATTCTGGTTGCAAAGCAGTCTACAAAGAGTGTGGGCTTCTGAGTTCGTCTGGCTTAGGGTCTAATATTACATAAATTTTTGGGCAGACTTTTTTCATTTTTGAAAAAGCCAGTACCATCAGCG